GACCCAGGTTATGGTCCCAAACTTGAGCCCAAGGACTCTTGGTTCACCATGGGAGTAAACCTGCTCCTCTCTTACTAATCCCAGATAATAAGAAAGCTGATATATTTTATCTACAGTATGAAGATTTCATATTGTTTTGAAAATATTACAATAACCTTAATGTGTCTATCATCCTGAAATCAGCAGACAACTTAATGGACTGAAAGACATATTGGATTGATCAGGAATTGTGGGAAATTTGGTGTCCTGTCTCTACTCATCAAGTTTGTGGCTTTAGTGTACTCATTTGAATATCTTTTTTCAAAAAAAAACAATAAAACCTGGTGAAGTTGTTATGATGGCAGATTAATTTTTCTAAAATGATGTGGTGAACATTTAAGCCTTGTGAGAGACTTTAATCAAAAAGCAATCAAAGGGCTGGAGCGGTGGCTCAGAAGTTAAGAGCACTTGTTGCTTCCAGAGGACCCGGTTGGGTTTCCAGCACTGATGTCAGACAGCTCACAACCACCAGTAGCTCAAGCTCCAGGGGATCCAGTGCTTTCTTCTGACCTTGGTAGGCTTATACACACATGTAGTATACTCACACCGACAGACAGACACACACACACACACACACACACATACACACACACATACACACACACATTCACATAAATTTTAAAAAATACCAAATATTTAAAAAATAATAATAATCATCAAGATTCTGATGCCCTGGAGCTGACAGTCCAAAGCCATAATACATCCAAGCAAGTTATATATCAAGTATTAAGAATTAATATCTTGAGTACTTACGATGTGCTAATGAGTTTATACCCTTGTACAGATCCTATAAAGTAGGCCTTGTTACCCCATTTCACAAACTGGATGACCAAAGCACAGAGATTGTCATGTCCCTAGGTTAATAAAATGTGCAATGCTGTATAATTAGGTTTGAACTCAAGCCAATCTGAACTGGCAGCTTGTCTCTTAACCACCACATACTTCCCCTTAATGGTTAAGTCTGAACTCAGAGTAATATAATGATATAAATTTTAAGATTATTATACATTAATGATACACTATAAGGTCTTGGACAAGTAGCCCTAAAACACCTTTCCAACCCTATCATCTCTGAGCTGCTCAGTCAGACTCGCTCTAGCCATACACTTCCATTACTTATTCCATGAATATATTACACAAATTCTTTATCACTGTCTCATTTAGGAATCTTGATTTCTACCACCAGCTCAAGCATTTTGGTAGACACAAGTCTCTAACTCCTCTAAAAAATAATAATACCTGATGTCTGTACCACTTACCCCTTCCTGCTTACTATTAGTCTATGGAGGGTTAATTTTTAGTGAGGTTCTATCCTATTTCTTCGATCAGATTATTAGTAACCCGAAGGCAAGAGCAATATGCTAAGCTTCCATGTGTTTTCTTCAGGGCATGTTGGATCACACTGTTTTAATTATCTATGTGTCTGCCAAACTCAACAACATACCATAACTTTCCTACCTTTATATTTTGAATGCCTGTCATATTTGCTGCATAGAGTTGTTGACTGGCAAAGAAGGAAATGATGGGCTGGGGTTGATGACTCCTTGGATAAAATTCCACACAAGCCTGATGTGCTGTGTCTGATTCAAAGAATCTACATAACACTGGATACAGGAGCACAAATGTCTGTAATCATAGCCCACTACACCAGGAGATGAGGGGCAAAGACAGGAGAATCTCAGGAAGCCCGTGGTCTTGGCTAACTCAGCAGTGAATAAGAGAGACTTTGTCTCAAACCAGGTAGAAGGAAAGGACCAGCATCCAATGTTATCCTCTAACCTCTACACATGAGCCATGGAACACACATGCTCACACATGCACACATATATGCAAAAGATTAATGATAAATGAAACAACATACTGGATACTCAATAATAGCTACTTATTATTAGTCTTCAGATTTTAAACAAAATAGGAAATCATTTATTTAGAAAGATTCTTACATAAAAGCCTTTAAATTGTGACAGAACATTTAAAACAAATACCTTCATTATAGCAATTATTAGCTTAGTTCTATGGATCAAATATTGATTTGGAATTATCAAATCCTCCTCAGGGAAATCCTACTCAGATATTATCAAATCTAGAAATAGTATTTATTTACCACGTCAGGAAACCCAAAGAAGGAGCACGTGGCACTGCTTTTAAAAGTGATGAAGGTTAACAGAATAAAAGAACGACCCCTCAGGGCTGGAGAAATGACTCGGTGGTTAAGAGCACTCACTGCTCTTGCAGAGGACCGGGGTTCGATTCCCAGCACCCACATGGTGGCTAATAACTGTCTGTGGCTCCAATTTCAGGGAATCCAACTCCCTCTTCTGACCTCTTTGGGCAGTGCACAACATGGGTGCACCTACCTTCATGAAAACAATATACTCATACACATAAAATAAAAATAATAAATAAAATTTTTTTAAAAAAAGAACGACCTCTCATCCACCTGTCTCAGAGCAACTGTAGATACTTGCTTCAGGATCGAAACATCAAGGGTGCCACCGCAGTGTGCACAGGATGTAGTGCACTCTCCTTACTGTACCTAACCACTATGATAAATACAAGACCTTTATGAGCATGAGAATAGGCACAGTAATACAACAGGATAACTGGTCCATCATTATAATTAATTATAGAAATCAGAGATTTTAAATTATCAATTGCTATGGCTGAATTGTGTTGAAATCTCTTATCCCCAGTACCTCAAAATGTGGTTGTATGTAGAAATAGGATCTTTAAAGAGTAATTAAGTTAAGGGCTAGGGCTGGAGAGGTGGCTCAGTGGTTAAGAGCACTGACTGCTCTTGCAGAGGACCCAGGTTCTATTCCCAGCACCCACATGGCAGCTACAAACCATCCTTAACTCCAATTCGAGGGGAATCTGGCACCCTCTTCTGACCTCTGCCGTTGCACGGCACAGGTGCACTCACAAACATGCAGGCAATACACTCATACGCATAAAATAAACAGAACAATATTTTTTTTTTAAAGTTAAGGGCTGGTGGTGTAGTTCAGTAGTAGACCACCTGCTTAGCATGTGCAAGGCTGGAGTTTGATCTTAAGCACCACAATACATAAATAAAGTAAAAGTGATTTAATTAAAATAGGTCATTAGTCTGGACTCCAGTCCAATATGACTGTTCTCTCATAGGAAAGGAAATTATGTCAAAGACAGGAACAGAGGGAAGCCCAGGTAAAGACACAGGGAGAAAATGGTTATCTATAAGCCAGAGACAGAGGCCATAGAGGAACCTAACCCTGCTAACACACGTATCTTGGACTTGGAGTCTATAGAATTGTGAGAAAATGGGTTTCTGATGTTTACGCCGTCTTGACTCGGATGTTCTGTGATGGCTGTCCTAACAGCCTGACATGCGAAGTCTCTTCTCATTCTTTAACTCACTCAGTGCTCAAAACAGTCATGTTCTATCACAAATACAGAAACTGAAGTTACAAAGATGTCAAAAGACCTCTCTGATATTATCCATTGAATGGAAGCAGGATGCTGACTGGAATATCGACCCCAAAATGCCATCCATATTCCATGATGATGATCTAAAAGACCCCTCAGACTCTGTTCCAAGCTCTGTCCTAAACTAATTGTAGGGCCTTTCAAAAGTCATTGATTTTTTGATATTTTCGTTTTCTTATATGTAACATGAAGGGTTGAACTGAGCAGTCTGACTAAATAGTAAAAGCAATTCTAGTTTTAAGACTTTAGCTCAGAGTTGGAAAGATGGCTAAGTGGTTAAGAGCACTTACTGCTCTTGCAAGGACCCAGGCTCAGTTCCTAGCACCCACATGGCAGCTCAGCTCCACCAATTCCAGGGGATCTAATGCCTTCTTCTGGCCTTTATGGACGTTGCACACATGTGGAACATTTACATGCAAGCAAAGAACTTGTACATATAAAATAAAAATAAATGAATTTTTTAAAGACTTTAACTCAAGTCATTGTTTTTGGTCAAATGCTTAAACAAAATTTCCTTATAAACTCTTTTAGAAGTGGAAGAAAAATCAATTAATTTGAGTCATACCCACAGAATTCAAGCCTCTCTTGAAATATATTTGAAATGTAGTGATATTAACTCAGTTTTAAACCTGGCGTTCTAGGGTTATGTACTGCTGGTTCATTTCTGTTGAAGATTTCTCTATTCTCAGCTTTTAAGGATTGAGTTCATGAGCAAAACACAGAGCTCAATTTTCCTAAAAATTGAGTCCCAGTTCTAAAATTCTCAGTAGTTACATAATCAAGTAGAGGAGGGAAAGTTTCAGACATTAGTTTCTAGGTATGAATAATTAAGGCATACTGCTTCCTGTTTGCCTGCCTAACAGGAAGGTTTACATTAAATAAGAAAACATGTGAGACATCTTTTGAACAGTTTGAATGGACGTTGCTGTCCATTTTCATCAGCATGTTCACTATTACAAGCTCACTGTTAGGCTGTACTTTATGTATAACTTCCTCAGCTTTGAAATAGCCCATGGGTACTTGATTTGTATTTTTTACCTGAAGTTAAAGCACTTTTTTAAAGATGAAGTGTACTGTGGAAAATAATTTGCACAGTAATGGAGTGTGACAGATATGACTGCAACAGGGTTAGAATTCTGAATCC